GAGACCTTGCCTCCTAGGTCTGAGGCCTGCCTGGCTCTGTGGGCACTGGGCCGATGGTGGCTTAGGCTGCACCAGTGACCCACCGAAGCCGGGGACGGTAGGGGTGTCCTGAGGGAGGGCTGCAGCCCTGGCGAGTTAGCACTGGGTGTTGGTCAGGATGCCTCCTTCTGCTCTGGGGAGCAGGGCCCAGGGTGGGGCTGTGGCTGGGAGGGAAGCTCACCGCCACCTTCTAGGAAGGCCCCTGGGTGAGCAGGGATCCCGGGCTGCGGGCCAGGCTCCTCTGATCCTGCTCAGTGGGGGCTGCCTCCCGTTTCTGGGCTGGTCCACAGAGTGCCAGCCACCTTTCCACAGCGCCACGCCTGGCAGCAGGGGGGCGGGGGCTGGGCAGACAACGAAGGTCCCCTCCATGAGGATGGTGGGGCTCAGGGCCCCCAGTTGCCTCCCACTGCCCCCCTGATGGTGCCCCTTACACCACGATGGCCACCTCAGAGACCGCCCAGTGCTTCCGTTAAAACCTGTGCCCGGAGGCGGCCGGGCTTAGCAAAGGCACAGGCCGTCCAGGGACCATTTCAGGTCAATAGCAACTGTCCGTGGACATGAGTCTCCCTGTCTCATGGGCCAGGCTTGTTGTGAAGGGTGTTCCCGTGAGGGTCAGGTGGAGGGAGCGCACTGGTTCCCGGCATCCAGTCGGGGATTCTATAAGAAAAGGTTTCTGAGGTTTGGAAACCATCTTCTCTAGACCCCTTTGGAGAGCATGGTGCATGTTGGGTTAGAAAAGAAGTTTTGCAGTTAAAAGAATACAAATATTTATACACCTGTACGTATATGTTATCTGCTTATTGCCTAACTGAGGTCCCTGCGGGTTTGACTTGGGGTCCTGCATGTTGCCGGATGGCACCCCCCTTGGGAGCATCCGCAGGTCCTGCGGCACCAGCCAGGCTTCTGAGGGCGGGGCGGGGCGGACGCGGGGCGCTGTGCTCAACTGCCTTCTGTGCTTGCTTCCACTGCTGCGCGCAGATGAGGAGCGGCAAGGCCTCCTGTGCCCTGGAGACCGTCTGGGAGGACAAGCAGAAGCATGGGGAGGCCGAGCAGCGCGCCCA